CGCTCTGGTGACCCAGACCCACATGGTGGCACTGGGGGCTCTCCCAGCACCTCCAGAGCCCGTCTCGACACCAGTGGATGCCACTGATGAGCCCCCGGTTCACGTCACCGTCACGGCGCCCCCATGAGCATTCCCTACCCTATTCCGCATCCCGCTCATCCCGGGAAGGGCGGACACGTGTCCCAAGCCTCAGCTCCTGCGACACTGCTGAAGTCAAACCCCAGCAGCTGGAAAAATATCCCTGCACAGAACATTTGGGGGTGTTGGCAAAGGGGTTCTGCTGCTTTAGAGTATTCAAAAGGTGCTCGGGGATGTGGATGATGCTTCCCAGGATTGGAAGCAGGAGCACTGGGCACAAGCCCCTCCATCCTTCTGGAGCTAAAATAAATCCTTTCTCACCCATTGGAGAGGGAAAAAAATGCAAGTGGGCTTGTGTTGGTAGGGGCTGTTTTGGGGCCAGGCTGAATTCAAAGACACCCCCAAAGCTCCGGTGGGGTGGGGAAGGGTCCTTGTTTCATGCCAAACTCACCCTTTTCAGGCCTGACCCCTGAAAGGGTGTTAGAAATAGTGAGTGGTGATGGTAGTGCCTTGTGTTGCTGTAAGCATGGAGGGGAGCAGGGTCCAAGGAAAGGGTTGCAGGTTCCCAGCTTTCCTTGCCCCTCATCCTGTGGTGTGTGTGAGGAACCAGAGCATCTCCAGCCATTTCTCCTGTATTTGGTTAATAATCCACTGGGAAGTATCAAGTGGTGGGAACCAACCTCACTTCGGCGCCTGTGGGGTATCAATCCCCCCTCTGGCCATAAAGCAGCACCACTTCCTTTATCAAACCACCCCAAAAACCTTACAATCCTACCCCAAACTCTTGCAAACCCAACATCATTCCAAAACACATCCCATTTCCAGTTCAAGTTACAGCTTCTTGGGAAAATATAGTGTCTTTATGCGATGTAACCGTGATAAAGGGGAGCACGTGCAGGGCCTGGCTGAAGAGAGGTCGTTTAAATGTGGTTAAATCTCAGTGTTTGGGGACAACAAAGTGGCCCAAGTTAAATCCCAACTATTTGCCTGCCAGTCTCCATTGGGAGCCAGGGAAAAGCCTCGCAGCAGGGTCTTGTGAAGGGAGAAATCCAGTGAGGAGCACATGGAGAAGGCTGGGATGAGGAGAGGAGATGATGAATGAGGTGGGAGAAGCAGGGATTTGCAGTGGCTCCGGCACAGATGGCAGTCAAAGGCTGTGGGTTTGTGGTGTAAGGTGGAGGATGCTGGCACAGGACGACATCCCTGTGGGAATCAGGATGGATGCACAACCCTAAAGGCAAGAAGATTAATACACTTACAAATAGAACCGTGGAACTGTTTAGGGCGGAAATGATGTCCAAGATCAAGTCCAACCATTGCCCCAGCACTGCCAAGGCCACCACTAACCCATGTCCCCAGGTGCCACAGCTACATGTCTTCTAAACACCTCCAGGGATGGTGCCTCCAGCCCTGCCCTGGGCAGCCTGTTCCAATGCCTGAGCACCCTTTGGGGAGGGAATTGTTCCTCAGCTCCATCTAAACCTGCCCTGGGGCAGCTCGAGGCCGTTTCCTCTTGTCCCATCCCTTGTTCCTTGGGAGCAGAGACCAGCCCCCTCCTGGCTCCATCCTCCTGTCAGGCAGTTGCAGAGAGCGATCAGGTCCCCCCTGAGCCTTCTCTTCTCCACACTAAACCCCCCAGGTCCCTCAGCCCTTCCCCATCCCACTTGTGCTCCAGGCCCTGCTCCAGCTCCATTGCTCTTCTCCGGCCCCATCCAGCACCTCAATGTCTCTCCATGTCATCTGTCCATCAGAACAGTAACACAACAAAGGAAAAGAACCCCCAGCTCAACACTCCCAACATCCCACAGAGAGACTGGGAGAGTGTCCTCCTGGAGCAGGACTGCTCCTCAGACCCCTCTCTCTGCACCTGCACCTCAGCTCCCCGAGGGCTTTGCAGCAGCTCCAGCCAGCCCAGCATCACTTCCTCCCTTCCCAGACGAGGCTGGGAATGCTCGTGGGGAACAGGCGGCTGCACGTGTCGCCTCGGGGTGGCTGTAACCGTGATTTATGCCCCTCATCTCGGGGCTCTGTGCTCCACCAGCGCAGCTTTGGTTTATTTACCTTGATTCAATTTGGGATCCCAGCCCAAGCCCTGCAGTTAACGTGTCAACACCTACCTCATGTTGGATCCGAGGGGCAGGCAGGGCTCTCACAGTGCAGAGGGAGCTGCTCCGACACGACTCCGTTCATGGCAGAGCCTCTTCAAGCCATTGCTGTTCCCTCAATCCAAGGAGTTAAAGGTGCAGCGGAGCTGGGTTTTGTCTTCTGCAAGCAGGAAGGTGAGACGGGCTGGGTTTCATCCACACTCCTGCAAGCATCGGGGTTATCAAGCTCCAAAAGGCACAAGCAGTCACCAGAGTGAGCTCTGCCTCCACGGACGCAGCCAAGGGTCACTTTTCCTGTTTATCTTCCTATTGATCCACGGGATTCTTCCCAAACGAGGACATGAGGAGTTCATGGAAAGGAGGATTAGAGTGCAGGGAGGAAGCCTCAGACCCACTTGGCTAAATCCCTGCGTCAGACTCCTTGGGATCTCTTCTCATGCTGGTAACAGCCCCTGGAAGCCACACTCTGGATTTCCCATCGTTGTGCTTTATATTATTACAATTCCTTTCTTTATACACAGAACCAGGCTAGTGTCAGGGTGTGTGGGGGAAACACACACACCCCAAAGAAAAGGGATTTCAAGGCATAAATAATATAAAAAGGCAACCATTTTTTAAAAACAAGATACATTCATATGACACTACTACAAAAAAATAAATAGTGACTCTCTCTGTTATAATTAACATCCCCCATCACTCCCTTTGAGCGATGCTGCTCTGCAGTTCCTGGCCTTAATGGGGACAGTGGTGGTCACTTCCTCAGGTTTCCTGCAGCTGGAGCTGCCGGAGGTCCCCAGAACCATTTAAGGTGACTCCAGATGAACTCCATCCTGGTTTTTCCTTACAGTCCTTGGAAAGAGGCTGCAGAATAAGGGGACTCCAGCTCAAAATGTGGTTCGATGTTTCCGAGTGCACGCAGTTGTCACCTGCGAAGCAAGAGGAGGGTGGGTTGGGGTGGCTCTGGGCTGTCATGGGTGTCCGCTCAGCAGGGGAAAACTCCATTATAAAATCATGGAATGGTCTGGGTTGAAGGGACCTCAAAGCTCATCCAGCTCCAACCCCCTGCCACGGGCAGGGACACCTTCCACTAGAGCAGGTTGCTCCAAGCCCCTGTGTCCAACCTGGCCTTGAACACTGCCAGGGATGGGGCAGCCACAGCTTCTCTGGGCATCCTGTGCCAGCGCCTCAGCACCCCCAAAGGGAAGAGCTTCTGCCTTAGATCCCATCTCAATCCCCCTATAAATCAATCAGTCACAGCCTCGTTATCCAGAGCATGTCAGCTCCGTTTAGACGCACCAACCCCAACCACAGATACCTGAGCATCACCGCTCCCATTTCCTGTGATGGGAAAGGTGGAACACTTGATCTTCCTCCAAAAGGGCTTAATTACCAGCTCCTCTGCACTAAACTAAGCTCCCTATAGCTATCCTACAGCATATTCCCAAGTCAAAGCCTGGCACTATCCCCCTGGGAATGCCTTACCATCCGTGCAATCCACAGAGAGGCGGTTGCTGCCGTCCCTGCAGCAGGGATGCTGTGGAGAGGGCTGCTCTGCTCTCTCCTTGCTGTCCTCCTCCAGCCGGGCACTGCACTCGGGGAGGGTGGAGGCCAAGCACATGGCCACCATGACATGGTGATTGAGAGGTTTCATCTCCAAACCATCCTGCTGGTAAGGTGCTACGATGGGCACGACGGGGAGCGCGCTGCTGCTGAAAGTGCCGTTGGCTTTGGTGAAGCACCTGCAGATGGGACAGAAGAAAAACAGGGTCATCAGTGCTGCTGCTTGCACAGAATCATAATCACAGGCTGGTCTGGGTTGGAAGGGACCTTAAAGCTCATCCAGTTCCACGGGCAGGGACACCTTCCACTAGAGCAGGTTGCTCCAAGCCCCTGTGTCCAACACTGCCAGGGATGGGGCAGCCCCAGCTTCTCCCTTCAACCCATTCCGGTGTCCCACAACCCTCACAGGGAAGAACTTCTGCCTCAGAGCTCATCTCCATCTCCCCTCTGTCAGGTTAATGTCCTTTACCTACAGGCCCGCGCCCAAAGCCCCTCTCCAGGTTTCTTGTAGCCCCTTTAGGCAGCCCCATAAAACAGGCTTTCACTGACAAGAAAAAGAGCTCAGGTTGAAACCCAACGAGCTTCGGGAATGCACTCCCCAGAATGCTCTGCAGAACAGAGATGGATTCATGGATAAAAGCAGAGGGAGAGTGCTCAAACCCACTGTGAACCAGTGCTCCTCCGAAATGCTCCTGCAAAGGCTGAATGGGATTCAAGTGTTTGATATGCTGCTATGGATACAACTCAGCACCAAGCACTGAGCTCAGATGGATTTAAAACCAGGAGATATTAAGCTTGGCAATCACAGTAAGGTCCTGCCCCAGCTCCAGAAACCACTTCTATCCCATTAGAGGCCACGTCAATCCATCACACTCGAGGGACTGCTCCTACGAGCCTCAGTTTATCCTTTCACCTCAAAACCATGACCAGAGCCGAAAGAGCAGCAAAGCATCCACAAAACAACTTTCCAGAGGAGGAACTGGAGTGAGTTTCTCCTCTGGTAGAGGCAAAGCCAAAACATGGGACAAGGTGGGAGCCAGTGGGAGCTGCTCCCCTCCCAAACACTGCGAGGACGGAGCAGCACCAAGCTTCATTTTCAACCTTCACTCTCCTACTTTGTCCTTCCACTCCCACATCCCCCTCCAAAATCATTATTCCAAGTACCAAAATACCACAGAAGCCACTGCAGAATCCACATGAAACACATCTGGTCTTCAAACAAATCCATTTATTAGTTTGCATTTCTTTCCGCAGAGGTTTTGACTGGGATCACTTATTATTTAAAGGAAAAAAAACATTTTAAGTGTTTGGGTTTGTGTGTTTATGGGGGTTTCTTTTTAAAGACACAGAGGTTGGGGCAGCTCTTTGTATTACTGCACAGGCTGGAATGATGTTTCAAGACAGCAGTTTGGCTTTTTAAGCTTAAATAACCACATCTGGATGGAAACCAGCCATCGGTATATGCAGGGCAGAGCACACATGAATAGTGATAAAAATCCCTGCTGCAGAAAACACGATTTCTATCAATTCTCAGTGCTAAAATCCTACCAAACTAGAGCTTAAACCCCCACCTCAGCGTAATCTGGATTTTAAAAGCTGGAAAACGCATTGATTCTGCTTTATTTGCAATGTGTATTTCAGCTTTCTGCTCAGAATGCAGCAAATATGCACAGAGAGACCTGCGAAAGCACAAATTCCTCTGCGGCCATCAGGTGCCTAGAAAGTTTTAGCACAAAAGCACCAAAGAAGGGAATCACTTCTCAATCTGAATGTAACAAGTGTAAGCCACACTCACACCCGTTCCCACCAGCTTTATCCACAACATCAAAGCAGGTATCCACATTTCAGCAACTTCTACCCCTGGCAAACCTCCACCAGCAGTTACAAGAGCACGAAGTGCTAATTTAAAGTGAAGACCGAGGGATTTCACCGCTACAATAATAAAACCTGCTGCTGTGAGATGGCTACTGCTGAAAATAGGCAGGTATTAAATACTCTAAACCTTTAGGATTCATTTGCACGTGGTCGCGATTCAAACGCCTGCTGAATTCAACCCAAACCAGCCACGACTCCAGGCACTCAGTGGAAATAGGCTCGTTGAGGAAGGAGCAGCACCAAGGTGGAATGTCCAACCCAAAATGCTCACGAGCTGGTGACCATCACCCTGCTGGGGCTGTTCCCACTCAGACCTGCCTTCCTCTGCTACCACATGGGCGTTTTGCAGAGGGAATTGCTTGGGTTTAGGTAAAAAGGGGCAATAATTCCCACGTGGGACAAGGCACAGGTCCTCTCTTGCACAGGAGCTGGATGGAGGGGACAGCCCTTACCTGAACAAAGACAGGGGAAAGATTCCAGCCCCAAATTCCCACTGGCTGACTTGACTGCACTAACCCACTAGGCCTTTCTCCTCCTCCTCCTCCTGGCCATGCATCCCGCTCCCTGGTGTAATGCTGAGGCACGTTTCTGGTCCTCCCCATTCCCCTCTCCCATGTCCTCCTTCCATTCCCCCCAGCATCGGGAAGGGAATGGAGCGGTCCCAGCTGCCAAACTGAGGTTAATGGTCCCCTCTGGAGCAAGACAGCTGAAAAGGACAACTTGTTTCCCTCTCCAGCAGTCAAATATAGAACAGGGATGTGAAAATTCAAAGTTCAGCCCCTGCTGATGACCCGCCTGGGAGGAGCAGTGCAGTTGCAGAGGATGGAACACGTTATCCCTACTTTCTTAAGGGAAAAAAAGAGCAATTAAAAGTTTAAGTAGGTTTCAAAGTGGAAAGCAAGCTCTTAACACACACAGAGCACGTTCCAAACCATGTATCTTGCTGACTTCTGGGCAGCAGCCTGCCTTGAAAACAGATAGTTGGCTTGTAAAGGAACAGCAGCTCGCTTTGCCCAGCTCTACCTGCAGCCTGTCTCCATCTCACCATCACCCCTATACTTAGGGAAGGAGGAAGAATTTAAAGCCTCTTGTAAGATCTATTTTAAAAAGAGACCCATAAAAATAAAGCAACTGTGTTTTCTGCCTTCAGCAACAGCTTCGTTTCAAGTCAGCTTCTCCAGGTGGACACCTATAGGTAGCTGATGTTTCGAGTAAAACACAAAATTCCAAGTAGGACAGAAAAACGAGCTATAATCTACCAGCCAGAGCAGTCCAGCACGTCTGATTTCAGTCCTACTTTTAGTCATTAAAAGAACCAGAGGTTTAGTCAGAAGCCTGGAAGGATATGCTGTAAAGCTTTCAGAAGTGAAAAACCTAATAAAAACCCAGGCTCCAGCCTCAACGTACAATGGGATTTTCCTTTATTCTCTACAAGAATCCGTTTTTTCCTCACGAGAGAAGTGTATCCCACTCGGACAAACTGCTTCTCGAGGCCTGAAGGACCTCAGATCCCATGTTCTACCAAGAAGAGCCTTGTGAAAGCAAAGCTGCAACTCTGTTTTGTTGGTGGTGTTAAAGAGAGCAGCAGGAAACGTAAAATACCAAAGACCAATTAAATCCTGTCTGACAAACTCCATATGGAATGATTTCGTTATCTCAAAACTGAAGAAAACACAGGAAATAAGGTTTAAGCCCAACCTGCCTCGCACCCCAGCGAGCAAAATGAGCTCTGGGGGTTTAATAACTCGCTTTAGTCCATCCAGCAGTCACCAGCTGCTCTCCAAGTGACACAGTGATGCTGAGCTCCTCCGTCCCCTCAGCCAGGACCGGAGCGCTCTGCTTCTGTCTGCCCTGGCTTGAACACAAGAGCTTCTGTTTGTGAAGCTCCTGCTTCTGGTGGAGTTTTACATTACCTGTTATTGTTCCGACAGTTTCTGCAGCTGATGCACTCGGAGGGGTCGGCCTGTGGCACTGCTGTGTACATCCCACTGCCCTGCAGGGAAGGAGTAAGGAAGAAGAACCCGAAATCAATCTCTGCGTGAACACACCAGAGGCAGTTCAGCTCCAGTGAGCACCCCAAGCCCTTCCACTTGGGGTTCCAAACTCTGATCACGTTATCAATCTTCTGATGTGGGTCTGGTCAAGTGGCACAGCAACACTGAGCTATTGTACCAAGCCAAGGGGACGGGTTTTGCCAACGTGTGTGTCAGGGAAAAGTAAATAACTGCAGCTTGGGCAAGTATGTGGTCATTTCCCTGGTCTGTTTTCAGCTTAATACACTCAGGTTTGATTGAATCAACCCACTGTAAATATGTTTATTTTTAACACTGATGACAGACATGAAAGCGACTTGCTGTTCGTCAGCAAGCCGGGCTCATTTGGGGAGCCAGGGGATGAAATGTGCAGGGCTGATGTCACAGCCCAAACCCATCCCACTTTCCTGCAATTACTGCGATTAGATCAGTTGCCTCCGCGACACGGAGTTTCTTGAAACATGGAATATTTGCACAGATGGGGTAATTCCTTCGCCAGCAATGACTCGGGGTGAGAGGGATTTTGTGGTGTTGGTTTTGGCTGAAGGGGCCATTACAAGCAAGTCGAAATGCCCAGATTAACACATACCTCATTGTTAAGGACGCTGCGGAGCTGGGATACTGGCTGTGTTTTGGGAGAGGAGCTGGTTTGGGAGAGCTCACCTGGCTTTGGAGGCTTCAAGTGGTAGGTAACTCCTAACAATCCCTATTCCTGAAAAACCAGGGCTTATCCTTCAGGTTTGGGGCCGCTCAGGGCAATAGGGAGCACTGAGGAAATGCCTAATCAGCCTTGATTGCCATCCTGGCCCGTTTCTCTCTTCCTCATTTAGCCCAATCAATGGAACAATAAAGAGAGTCCTGACGAGGATGAGAACATCCTGTTCCTGTGCTGCCTCACCCCGCGTGCCAGTCCGGGTCCTTCTACGTGGGAAGAGATTGCGTGACTCCAGCTCTGTACCATGTGGAGGAGGGGAAAGAAAAACTCAACCCGGTTGTTGAGTGTTGCGTGTCTCATCTCGTGGCACTGGGACCTGCGTTACCACATGCCTGTTTCCTTCCTTCCCCTCCACAAAACACAGAAGAGGAGGGACAAAACAGCAGCGCAAGCCCTGGAGTGTTCTCAGGGGAGAGCTTTCCTCCCTTCCTGAGGGCTCGGGGCATTGGGGACTTCTGGAGTCTTTTTGGACAGGTCCAAAAAACTATGGTTTGGTGTTGAAAGCAACCAGCAAGCAGCACTTTTTGCTGCACCAGCAGAGCAAAGGCAGGATCAGGTGAAGAACCAACTGGTCTGGACTGGAAGCTGGAGTTAACTGAAGTGGCAACTACTGTGCAAGTGCTAATTTGTTGTTCAATAAAATGAAGTGCTTGTGTTCAATTACTAACACAAACAATAGCCCCATTTTTTTTCCCCTCCAGAAACAGCATGGGTTATTCAGACTTTTGAACTTTTTCTTTCAGTTTTCCTGGGCAATGTTCACAGTTTTGAGTCAGTTTAGTAAGCTTGAATGCAAGCCATCTGTTTCCATAGACAATAATGAAATCATTATTCTCTCTTGGAAACGGGACGCATTTCAGCAAATGAAGTATTTTTCCACAGCGTACAAAGGGCTGGATCAGAGGCTTAAATTAGGTTTGAATTTTATTTTGAATTTCAAACCCCAAAACTCAGCCTGTCCCAGGCACAAATAAGGGACTGAAAGGGCCAAAAAAAAGGCATTTCAAGATGGATGGGGCATTCGATCTGCTGAAGCCTCCTGCTCCCTTCGTGCTTTGCCATAATTAATAGCATGGCTGAGAGTTACAGATCTGAAACAGGTGGGGGAAAAGAACGGGTGAGCCATAAAGCTGCAGAATGAGCAGCTCTAATTAAATCTATTTAACTTGAAGCTTGAGAAATACCATATGTACAAGCAAAGTATCTCAGCCCAGCCCAGGACTGAGGCATTCTCAGAGCTTACATGCTGTTAAGAGGAGGGCAGAGGCAGATTTCCCAGAGTAAGTGGAATTCTTGCTGTCATCTGATATTCTCAAATGAAAACCATGATGTTTGTATCAGGAATATCAGCCCAGTTGCTTCCTCTGGGATAAGTCTTTTAGTGGAACTGGCTGTTATCAATGGATGAGGACTTCCCCCACCCGAATTAAGCCTGCTTCTACAAGCTCTGAGTAAATGCCACGCTTTCCACCCGGAGTAAGAGCTTACGTTCACGAGATGGTGGGGATGCTCATAGTCCATGCGCGTCCTGGACAGGGAGTTGCTGTGCCCTGGGTACAGTCCAGCTCCCCCGTTCATGATCCCATTAACTCCATTAGCAACTTTATGGTGGACATGGGGGCAGCCGTTGCTGAGGCCGCCGTTGCTGATGAAGTTCCCATGGATGCTGCCATTGACTCTGCTTGTCCCAGGTAAAGTTGTGTACTCAATCATCTGCCCGTTGATATCTGCCCCTTGATAGAGATAGCCAGGAGGGTCATACTCTGCAGGAGACATCATCACCAAAAGCATGTTGATTGCCAAATGAGAGCTTAGACGAGTGCTTCTAAGAAACAAAAGAAACCGATTTTCTCTTTCTACAGCTTTTGTAAATTAGCCCTAATATCCAAGTGCTTAGCATCCAAATGTGGAAATGGAAAACAGCCACATCCTGGAGAACAGACCAGGAATGCTGGTCTGAAAGGACCCGGCTGACGTCTGTCGCTATGAGGAGCATCCTAAAACCGATTCGTGTACCCGAGTCTCTGGTATCTTTTGACTTCCAGAAAATATCTCTGGGTCTATGGAAGACACTGTCTTATCGTGCAAGAAGTTTTGTTTCACTTCTCTTGGTCAGAGAGTATAAGTAACCCCAGCCTGTGGACAGAGTGAGGGTGAGTTCTGTGTCACAGAGAAGACTGGTGAAGAGGTTGTGCTAGCACGAGATGGCTTGGAGGGTACAGAGCACCTCACAAAGCTCCAGCACATCTGCTCCAAGCTTCTACTTGCCTACAAACAGGTTTTCCTTATTAACACCTCTCCAAAAGACCTGGACATTGAACTACATTTTACTGCCAAGGGACTGAGAGGTAACAAGGGACTCCTCCTCCAAGTGCTCTAAGCTCTTTTTCTTTCCAGATATACACGAGAGAGGGAGAGACCTGGAGGTTTAGACTCCGCATTTTATGATTAAACACAAGTTCTGCCACTGCAATCAGCAGGGACCCATGCAGGTGCTTGAAGGACTGGAGCTCTGCTATGGAGACAGGCTGAGAGAAGAGAAGGCTCCTTAAGGGGAGACCTTAGAGCAGCTCCACTGCCTAAAGGGGCTACAGGGAACCTGGGGAGGGGCTTTGGACAAGGGATGTAGGGACAGGACAAGGGGAATGGCTTTAACCTGCCAGAGGGGAGACTGAGATGAGCTCTTGGGCAGAAGCTCTTCCCTGTGAGGGTGCTGAGGCGCTGGCACAGGGTGCCCAGAGAAGCTGTGGCTGCCCCAGCCCTGGCAGTGTTCAAAGCCAGGTTGGACACAGGGGCTTGGAGCAACCTGCTCCAGTGGAAGGTGTCCCTGCCCGTGGCAGGGGGTTGGAACTGGATGAGCTTTAAGGTCCCTTCCAACCCAAACCAGTCTGGGATTCTGTGATAAGCTGAAGAAACTTTGCCCAGGCACTTCACACACCATTCTCTGGGTGAAGCTGCAGCACAACTGTACAGCCATGCGCAGGGCAAAGAAATAAGATGCTACTCTCAAAACCCACGTCTTCACCCAAGGCACACCCAGAAAGTTTAAGTCTCTAAAGAAATGCCAGCTGGCTTCTAACAGGAAAATGCTTCCCATTCACAAAACACAGAAGTTACTCATTTTACACTGATAATATGTTCCTCATGAAAGGAAAGCAAGAAGCACTCACTCTGCATGGCGTTCTGCTGGCGGTTCTTCCAGAGGCACATGGCAATGAAGACGATGAGGATAAGGACCATCACCCCCAGGACACAGCCCACAATCAAGTAGAGCATGTCGCTGCTCCGAACAGGGCCGTTGGAAGGTCCTGCTCCACTTCCAACCCTGTCAGGGGGATTTGGTGGCGTGCTCAGGTCTTTCATGGGGTATTCGGATGCTCCCGGCGTGCGTTTCACTGGGTGAAGTGAGAGACATGGGTACATTCACTGAATGTGGATTTTCATCCTGAGTTTGAATCCTAACGCTGCACAAAGCAAGCTTCCAAGTCAATATTGAAACCTGTGAGGAGAAGGCCAACTGCTATTGGGTAATAACTATTTGCTTTGGAATATGGTTGTTATCCAGCTCGCATTGAGGTCACTCGGAACTTTAATGAGCAACTCGACCTACGCAGGGCTAGAGCTGCTCCCAGCTCGAAGGAGAGCAAATCTTTCCACTTCTGAGGTCAGGAAAAACCACAACATGCATTTCTATCACCTAACTGCTGCCAGACGACCTGCTTTTATCTGAGGTGAACCCTGCCAGCCCCATTTTCAACCCCGTCCTACGGAAGGTACCAAGAGCTGAACAGAAAAGCACCAAACCCAAGACACCAGTTTAACCCAGGAATTAAATGTAGACTCTTTTTCAGCACACCACAGCTCTGACTCATTTCAACTGACACTAAACTCCTTGAAGAGGTGCCTGGCTTGGGAGTGAAGCTGGTTGAAGACACAAGCACCTCCATGCAGATAAGCTGGATCAGCCCCACAGGAAGATGCATTTTGAGGCAGTACAAACAACACATTTCACCTCCTGGTTTTAAAATGAAGGAAGAAAGTGCTATTCCTTGCAGAGGGGAGACCTACTGTGCACACAGCCTCACAGCCCTGCAAGTTCCAGCCCTTCTCTCAAAGGCTTCACTACAAACTTCACTCAGTGTTGATGCTTCCGCTCCTGGAGGGCTTTTTGCTGCCTTTTTCAAACATTTTTTCATAGCCCTGCATTTGAAGTTCACTGTCTGCATTTTCCCTTTACAGCCTTACTTGGGTTTAGAGATTAAAGGAGACAGGAATTCTTTGCAAAATAAATGTGACTGCCATATCTGACACTTCCAGAGAACAGTACACACTCTGTGCCAGAGGCACGCAGGATTAGCGATGGAGGCAGCCAACAGAGCCATCAACTGCTGCCGTCTGCACTTATACAACGTGTCACAGAGCCCCCAAGACATAAAGCAGACATACAAATCAATTCTGTCATCTTCAAGAGCATGGTTGTCTCCTAAGAAGAGGCTATCAGCACAGCACACGGGAAAAACCCACAGCCCAGAACAACAAGACTATCTCTGAGGCCAGGGAAAGCTCTGCTGAGAGCCTCTCTTGGGAGCGCAACGGATCAGTTTCCATATGCTCCAAACAATCCCAGCTTCGGAAGACAAAACAATCCTCCAAAACATTCCAGTCTTCCTCGCAGCTGACTTTTGCACTGCAAGAAGCCCCCCCGAGCACAGCAGCTATTCCACGCCACAAACAGCCACTGCTGCTAGCTGGGTGCTCACCTTTGGTTTCGCAGATCATCACGTTGCTGTACTCGCTCTCGCCGCCCTCGTTGTAGCACTGCATCTTGATGTCATAGGATGTTTCTGGCTGCAGGTGATTTATCAAGTGCCATTGCTTTGTGCCTAGGAGGGGAGAGAAAAATAAAGCAATTGCATTTATTCACATGCATGAGCCAGAATTAGTTACACGGCAGCGTCCTTCTCTCTAAAATGGGGCACTGCAGCTTTTCCTGCTGGCACAAAAGTCTTTGTTAATAATTTATGGGCTTATCGGTAATTGTAAGAATCACAGAATGGTTTGGGTTGGAAGGGACCTTAAAGCTCCTCCAGCTCCACATCCCTGCCACGGGCAGGGGCACCTTCCCCTC